CATATGACTTTACCGTCGCTCCCATCCCTTCCAGAGCGAGGACAGATCCCCATGGGGTGCGGCTGGCCGGGAGGACCCTGCGGAGGAGGAAGAGGAGGAGAGCGACAGTGAGGAGGAGGAGGCCTGGGAGGAAGGGGGCGCAGGCAACAGGGCCATGGAAGGGCCCAGGGAGCAGGGCACTGAGAACCAGGCGGCGCCGGAGCAGGACGTGCAGGGCCTGGCGCGCCACCTGAGGCAGGGAGGTGAGGAGAGCGCTGGCTCCCCCAGTGGCGGCAGGGGGGACTGCACTTGTGAGTGCCTCCTGCTGGCTTGGGGGGCATGTGGGCCGCTGCTTGGCTTGAGCGGATGGGGGCCACTGGGCCTCTGTTGGGGGTGGGATGGGGGGCAGTGAATGCTGGCTGCCTCGGCTCCCCAGCCCAGACACACAGGGGTTAAGGCCTCTGCCTGCACTGGCCCCCCAACCCCAGAGAGTGCAGCCCCACAGCTCCTTAAAGGGGCCCCGTCCGCGTTCAGCCTGACCTCGTCTCCCCCGGGAGCTCTGGGCCAGGGCTGACCTGGCCCCACTGCCCGCTGGGAACCCTGGCTTGTGAATCTCCAGCTCGGTGCGGCATTGTGTGTCTCCTCCCCCCCCCGCCCCTTTGCTGGGGGCCATCTCTCACCCCCGCCCTCCCTTGTGCCCGCAGGCCTGGCGGGCTCCTTGCTGTGGCTTCAGAACTGCCTGAACCGAGCGGCCGAGGACCGGGAGGAAGACGGTTAGTGGCGGGGGGGGCAGGATCGGTGCTGGGAGGGCGGCCCCGGGCATGGCCCTGCTGCACTCGGGAGGTGCTGGCGGTTTCTCCCCAGACTCCGCACGGAAGGTCCTGGGGGGACGGCTGGTGAATGGGATCTGTTCCCTCCTGGGGGTGAAATGGGGCATCCCAATACCGGCTGGAGTGAGAGGCTCCTTGGGGCCAGCCCGGGGCATCGGGAGGGGATCCATGTGCATCTCTCCCCTACGCTGCGCCCACATGGGCCCCCCGAACCCCCCCGGCACTAGCGCCCCCACTTGGCGTTGCCCAGTTTCGAAGGATCCCGCAGCTGTAGCCCCGACCCCCCAAACCCCCATGTGTGGGGCGGGTTCATCCTCATGGCGCCCCCTGTCCCCAGGCACCACCCAGCCCGTGCCCTTGGTGCCACTCTTGGAGGAGAACGAGGACGCCATGGAGAACCAGGGGTTCCAGAAGCTGCTGCGGAAGGTCGGGGTTCGGGCCCCAGCTAACGAGCAGGTAATTACCTCCCCCCCAACACACACAAGGCGTTGTGAGGGGGGCTGGCTTGTGCCCTGGAGGAAGGGGAAAGGATTTTTTGTGGGGGGGTCCAATCCAAGTAGTGGGGAGAGAGGGACATGGGCGTAAGCACTGGGACCCCCCCCACACCTGAGTGCCCCCTTCAGGCTGTGCTTGGCACTAATGCCCCACCCCCGCCCCCCTGCAGGAATCCTTCTGGCGCATCCCGGCCAAGCTGAGCCCCGAGCAGCTCCGGCGCCTGGCTGCCTCTGTTGCGCAGGAGGAGCCTGAGGGGGAGGAAGGCTCCCCGGGGGGGCCGGACGCCAGCCCGGAGCAGAGAGCCCAGGCCCTGCAGACCTTGCGGCTGGCCAGGAGGAAGAGAGGGGCCCCAGCCTTGCCAGGTGAGCGATGAGTGCGGGGGTTGGCCTTGGAGGCTGCCCCAGGAGGCAGGGGACCGGCTGGGCAGTGGGGTGGGGGTACAGGTGTGTTGCTCAGTCCACACACTCTCTCTCTCTGATGCTTTCACTTTCTTGTCCCATTTCAGAGGAGGAAACACCTGGCCCCGAGCAGCCACCAGTTTCCCCAGGGTCTGATCTGCAGAGGTGAGAGTCAGGGGTGGTAACCTAACCCCCTTCCCGGGCTCTATGCCTACACAGGACTCCTGGGTTCTGTCCCTGGCTCTGGGAGGGCAAGTGGAGCCTGGTGGGTTGGAGCGAGTGGGAACTGGGAGCCAGGACTCCTGGGTTCTGTTTGAGTCTCTGCCTCTGACTCCTTATTGCGGGGCAGGGACATCCTAAGGCAGCGCCTCAGTTTCCCTATCTCTAACAGGTAATGATGTCCTATCCAGGGGGGTTGAAGTCTAGTGTTCACAAAGCATTGGGCTGGGTTGGAGCGGAGAGCTGGGGGTGGGAGGTGCTGGGGTTGCCCCTAATCCTTTCCCCGTCATTGCAGGGTCCGTACCGTCCAGTCGCAGCTGGGCCCCAAGCGGAGCCGTGTGATCCACAGCGACGACGACGAGGACCCCGAAATCCAAGGTCTCCGAGCGCCTCCCACTGGCTGGCCCTGGGTGCAAGAGGCCCCCCTGCCCCCCATGCACACAGGATGGGGGATGGGCACTGGTGGCAGCTGCCATCCTGGGGCAACCCAGGGGCAGAGCCAAGTGGGGCCCCAGGTGCCTCCTGCTCTGGCAGGAGGGGGAGGAATAGCCCCTGGCTGAGTAAGATGGGCCACTCCTGGGGGGCTGATGGGCTGAGGGAGAGGGGGGGTCGCCCTGAGGGGCAGAGAGATGGGGGTTCAGCTGAGGGGGCTGAGCCGGGAGGGGTGTGGGGGACTCAGCCCTGAGGTTCCTTGTCTGTTCTTCCTTTCAGCTGAGGCACCAGCTCAGCCGGACCCCACCTCGGACAGGGAGGGGACATGGCCCCCCCGCCGGAGGAAGCGCCTGCGGATTGAGGAGGAGGAGGAGGAAGATTAAAGGACCCTGGCCAGACCCGCCCCCCCCAGGCGAATGCTCCTCCAGGCTGCTCTCGACACGCCCGGCTATGCTTCAGACACTCCCCTCCACCCGTTGCTTATTGGCCGCACAGAGACTGGGCTAGGCCGTGTCCGGCTGGGTGGGCCCTGGGTCCCTGTGCTCCTGTCCAGAAGAGCCAGAGCGAGCCAGCCAGGGAGGGCCTGTGTGCGGTGTCTGGTACGGGGGTCTGGATCTGCTGGGCCAGCATCTTGGCAGCCTGGCAGGGTGGGGCCTCTGGCAGATCAGTGGGGCTGGACCAGCCATCACCCCGGCTCGCTCAGGGGAGGGGCTGGTGTAGTGGGGGGGGGGGTCCCCACCTTCTCCCCCGGCTCATTAGCCAGCTCCCAGCCCCTGCTGCCGCCTGCTTTCATGCTTTTCGGCTGCCTGCTGGGTACCCAGGGGCATTAACTCCCCTTGCCCCCCGCCCCCGGCTCCGGGAGCTCTCCCCATCTCATTCCTATTCCCCAGCCCCCTTTGTCGTTTGACTTCCAGCAGGAGTTAGCAAACAAACCAGGGGCTGGGTGTTGTGTCATTGCGAATGGGCAAAGGCCAAAATAAAACGGACTCAACCTTCCCTCTTGTCTCCCTGCTGCAGTGGTGGGGGGTGGGCCAGGGCTGCTGGGGGTGGAGGGGACAGGGTGTCAGGACTCCTGGGTTCTGGCCCCATATGCGGGAGGGGAGCAGAGCCCTGTTATTCTCACCCCGGCTCAATCTCCCCTCCCTACACTGTCCTCAGCCCCTAGGATGGTTCTCCTCTCCCCCCCATGCCTGCAGTGTCTGCTACCCTAGAGCCGGCTGGGAGGGGCCCTGGCCCAGCCTGGTGACATTGCACAGTGGGGAGGGGTCTTTGACTTTTTACCAACAGCTACAAAAACAAGGTGAACAGAGGCCCTGGCGTGAGCTCAGCCAGGGCAGGGACAACACCCGCGCCAGCTTCACCCAGCTCCCTTGGTCCCTGCTGCCCTCCCCTCCCAGCCCCGTGGTCCCTGCCTGCCCAGCGGTCACCCTGCCAGGGCCGGGTCACCCTGCTGCAGAGAGAGCATGTGGGGGCTGCAGAGGGGAAGGCTGTCACGCCTGCCCCTGGAAGGGGGGAGCAGGGGCCCGAGGCTGTTGCAATCAGCTGCCTGATAAGGGATCACCTGGCCTGGAGACCTCCCCCAGGTGGGCTATAAAAGGGGCCAGGCAGGCTCTGGGCCAGGCATCCTGCCATCCCTCCCGGCGCCCAGGAGCTCCTGATCTCGTCTGTGCCCAGGTGAGAGGAGGCTGTAACCACCCCCCTGCCTCAGAGGTTTGTCCCCACTGCTCTTGCTGCCTGAGGCTGCTGAGGCCCGGGGGGGGCTGCACGTTTACACAAGGCCTTTGCACCAGGGTTGGTTGCCAAACCCCAGCAGGGACCTGTGGGGAGCAGCTCTGTCGTTGGGGGCTGGGGGGGACTGCTATCGGTGTGCAAATCCATGCCACTGAGCTGGGCGTGGGGGGAAATGCCCTGTTTGCCCATAGGGGCGGAGGACTGGAGGCTGCCTGTGTCAATCAGACATGTTGAGCTGGAGGGGGCCTGTGTGGCTGAGCTTGGGGTGGGGGGGCATTTTCCCCTTGCCCTAGGCTGCTGATGGTGGGGGCTCTTCTCCTCCAATCTCTGGCAGCTCAGTGGGAATGGCCAAATTGGTGCCCACCAGCTTCACTGTTTCCTGGGGCGGGAAGAGAATTCCTCCCTGGTGCATTGTCCGTCCCACCCCCCCCCCCAGTTTAGTGCAGCTGCTGCAACACTGGGAAATGAGGACCTGTTTTGCTGTCTGAAGCCCCCCCCCCCCCCCGTGCTTGGCTCCCGGGGCTCGGCCTATGGGCACCCTTGGGAATTCAAAGGGACTGCGGGTGCTCCTCAATCCCAACCTCCAGCCACCTGCTCTCCCAGGACTGGACTCCCCCTGTGATAATGATGCCTGATTCTTCGCTTGCATGTCCCACTGCAGATCTCAAAGTGCTTTTCAGTGGGGAAACTGAGGCCCAGGCCCAGGCAGAGCTGGAAATAGAAGCCAGGCCTCCCAAGTTCCAGGCCAGCGCTGTGTCTACTAGGCCATGCTGCCCCCCCACAGCTCTGCGGTCACCCTGACCCGCAGTCTCCTATCCCAGCCAGGCACTGCACATTTGAACCCTGGTCTCCAGAAGCCAAAGGCTGGTCCCTCGAGCCCAGTTGTGGGAGTAGCTGGCATCCCCTGCCAGAAGATCCCCTGCTGCAGGGAGGGGCTCCGGAGTCTTGTGTCTGTGACGTGTCCTCTTCAGCAGGGTCTGTGCTGCGCCCCTGAAAGACCGGCCCGCCATGCAACAGCCAGTTCTCCACTTCTGCCTGCTCCTGCTGTGCCATGAGCTACAGGGCCTCCAGCTGCCCGCCACACCGGGAGGCGCTGCTGGGACCGTCAAGCCCCCAGGGATGGAAGTGGCCCCCCTCCCCGCTTCTCCCGGTGCACCCAGCTCCCATCAGGCTGCTGCCAGGGTGCTGCTTGACTCCCTCCCAGGGCGGCTTCCCCAGCCAGGGCTCCCACGGGTGGGGGTCTCCTGCCAGGATTTGCTGCCCGAGGCCCTGGAGGGTTTCTCCCAGCTCCCGCCGCTGCCCCAGACCCTCATCATCGGGGCCTTAGCCCTCTCCCTTCAAGGGGCCGGCTGCCCCCGCCAGGCCAAGGGGCTGGTGCTGCGGCTCTATGGGACGGTGGGGGTGGATGATGCCAACGCACTGCTGCTGGGGATAGCAGGACTCCCGGGAACCCCCAGGAGAGGCGGGACCCCCCTGCTCTTCAACAGGGATCAGCTGGCAGGTGCGGGCCCCTGGCGTTGCTCGGGCCTGGCCCGGCTTGACAGCTCCCTGCTGTTGGGCCCGGTGGTCAGCACCCACGGCGCCTTCCCAGCTGCCGCCGTGGCCTGCCACAGGCTGGGGTCTGCCTGCGCCGGCGTGACCTCCAACGGGACCACCTCCTTCTCGGTGATCGGACAGCCTGGCGCCTACTCCCGGCCAGGCCACGGGGTCCAGGCCTGGCTCCACCGGTGCCGCTGGGCAGGAAGGAACCGGCGCGGGAGCCCGGAGGCCTGCAGCAGCAAGCAGGAGCAGAAGGTGCATGGCTTGCTGGAGTGGGTGCCCCTGGTCAGCACTTACTACAACATGGGCACCAGCATCTACTACGCCTTCCAGAACTGCACGGAGCTGGCCAAGGAGCGGGGCATCGAGGCGGCCCTGGACCTGAGCTACGACGTCCTCCTGGGGCTCGTGGGCGGGCCAGCGGGCAGCTTGGGCCTCGGCATAGGCATGGGTCTGAAGCCGGCCATCAAAGTGGGGGTGCGGTCTCTGATCAGCTACTTCCGGCAGGTGGAGCCGTCCGAGGCCCTGCCCATGAGCTCCTCCAGCCCCATCACCACGGCCAGCTCCTTCGTGCCGCCATCGGTCTGGGTGTGAATAAAGCGGGGCGCTGCCCATTCCTTGAGCCCAGTGCTGGTGTCCATGATGGGGGGGGGGGGGTTCCGGGGAGGGGAGCTGGCTCACAGCCAGCCCAGCTTCATGCCCAGCTGTGGTCTCCATGTGCAATGAGTTTGGTGGGTCTCAGCCCTGGCCCTGGTGGCTGGCTCTCTCAGCCACAGTGGGCACGGGGGCTGGAGTCTCTCCGGCCAATTTCCAGCTCCCTGGGCGGTGCTCTGGGGAGGAGGGAAGGACCCCGTCCGCCACTTGCCAACTCAGCATGAGCGCCTGTGCATGACCTTGATAAGGGGCATGTGATCTCCGGCCAGGGTTAGCCTGACCTAGGGCAGCCAGCTGCCACGAGTTGAGTCTAAAGATCAGCAGGTCTCAAAGGTGCTGGGTGGCCAAATTTCTCCCAGATATCATATCACATAGAAGATTAGGGTTGGAAGAGACCTCAGGAGGTCATCTAGTCCAACCCCCTGCTCAAAGCAGGACCAATCCCCAACTAAATCATCTCAGCCAGGGCTTTGTCAAGGGCCTTAGAAACCTCTAAGGAAGGAGATTCCAGCACCTCCCCAGGTAACCCATTCCAGTGCTTCATACCCCTCTTTGTGACATAGTGTTTCCTGATATCCAACCTAAACCTCCCGCACTGCAACTTGAGTCATGAAGGACCCTGGGGTCAAATCGCCTCCTGCAGCCTGCCCAGTCCAGCCTCGGCCTGGCTAATGCAGCTGGGCATTCGCAGGGTTTTGTTACCAGCCAGGAAAGTGCAGGCTAGTAATTACAGCGGGGCAGTCGGAGCCAGGACTTCTGGGTTCTGGCCCTAACTTGGGCCCGTTTGTCAAGTGCTTTGAGATCCATGGCTGACCAGCACTAGGTACGCAAGGGCAGGGCTTGAAAGCAGTCGGCTGCCAGATCCCCCCACCAGCAGGCAGGTGAACTCTGGCTGCAGGCGAGCAGGGGAAGGTCCTGGCCCCTTGATTTGGTGCCTGGGCCCGGTGCAGTGCATGGGCTCTGGGCGTCCCTGCTGCTGCTGCTGCTGCTGCTGCTGCTCCTCCTCCTCCTCCTCCTCCTCCCTTTCCCTTTCCCTTTCCCTTCCCACCTCCACCCTTCCTCTCCCTGCTCCCCACCTCCACCCTTCCCCTCTTTCCCCTCCCTGCTCCCCCCACCCCTTCTTCTCTAGGCCACGCCCCCTATCCCAGTCCCCGCCTCCCGGGTGACGTGATTTCTGGGAAGTCGGTCGGCCTGCTCCTGCTTCGGGCTCGGCTTTTCCGCCCGGCGCCTCCCCTCCCACCGCTGCCGTCTCCACCAACCAGCGCCGGGCAGGGGCGGGGTCTCCTCCCAGACACGGAAGAGGGGCTCCCTGGGCGGCGGGAGGGCAGCGTGGTGCCCGGCACTGCAACCGGTAGGGACCTGGGAGCTGGTCCGGCGAGGTGAGGGGGGCGGGGCTGGCTCTGGGGGGCCCCGGCACTGGGGAGCTTGGGGGAGGGGTATCTGGGGGGCACTGGGGAGTTTGGGGGCGGGGCAGGGGAGCAGAGGGGAGGGGTTTCTGGGGGGCACTGCGGCGTTAGGGGGCAGGGGTTTCTGGGGGGCACTGGGGAGTTTGGGGGTGGGGGGACAGGGGAGGGGTTTCTGGGGGGGCACTGGGGAGTTGGGGGGCAGGGGAGCGGGGGGCAGGGGAGGGGTTTCTGGGGGGCACTGGGGAGTTTGGGGGTGGGGGGACAGGGGAGGGGTTTCTGGGGGGCACTGGGGAGTTTGGGGGCAGGGGAGGGGGTTTCTGGGGGGCACTGGGGAGTTGGGGGGCAGGGGAGCGGGGGGCAGGGGAGGGGGTTTCTGGGGGGCACTGGGGAGTTTGGGGGTGGGGGGACAGGGGAGGGGTTTCTGGGGGGCACTGGGGAGTTTGGGGGCAGGGGGGAGGGGTTTCTGGGGGGCACTGGGGAGTTTGGGGGCAGGGGAGGGGTTTCTGGGGGGCACTGGGGAGTTGGGGGGCAGGGGAGCGGGGGGGCAGGAGAGAGGTTTCTGGGGGGCACTGGGGAGTTTGGGGGTGGGGGGACAGGGGAGGGGTTTCTGGGGGGCACTGGGGAGTTTGGGGGTGGGGGGGACAGGGGAGGGGTTTCTGGGGGGCACTGGGGAGTTTGGGGACGGGGGAGGGGGTTTCTGGGGGGCACTGGGGAGTTTGGGGGCGGGGGAGGGGTTTCTGGGGGGGCACTGGGGAGTTGGGGAGCGGGGGGCAGGGGAGGGGTTTCTGGGGGGCGCAGGGGAGCTGGGGAGGGTTCTGGGGGCACTGGGGAGTTTGGGGGTAGGGGAGCTGGGGGCACTGGGAAGTTTGGGGGCAGGGGAGGGGTTTCTGGGGGCACTGGGGAGTTTGGGGGCAGGGGAGCGGGGGCACGGGGGAGCTTGGGGGGTTTCTGGGGGGCACGGGGGAGCTGGGGAGGGTTCTGGGGGGCACAGGGGAGTTTGAGGCAGTGCAGTGGAGGGCTGCTCTCAGTGCCAGCTGATGAGTCTTTCAGCACCAGCGAAAGCCCACCCCGTGGCGGGGGGGCAGGGCTGGCTGTCATGGTGCCCTCCCCCATGGGGCAGGAGCCTCCTGGCCAATGTTACCCCCCCACCCTCCCTTCCCTTCCCCAGGTCCCCCTACCTGTTTTGAGCCCCTGTGGGGAAGGGGGCGGGACGAGGCTGCCATGGCGGGTAGGGGTGTCATGGCATGGCCAGGGCAAGGTGGCGCCGCTCTGGGCAGCGGCTGGCACCCGCCACCCCCTGGTGTGTAAGGCCCTGAGCAGAACAGAAGTCCCCAGTGGGACAGAGATAAGAAAAGTGCCCCCAGGGGATCAGGGAACTGAGTCTAGTTCAGTTTCCTTCTCCCCCAGGCTTCGGGTGATGCAGGTGGCAGCTGGCGACGCTGCCCGGCTCTGGCTGTGCACGGTGAGATCCCACCCATGGTGGGCAGCTGGGTGCCCCCGCAGGGCCCCCCCCCTACCAGCCCCCGGCTTCTCTTTGGGGAGCTCGCTGGGGAATCCCAAACGCCAATAAATGAGCCCCATTTCGCGGCCGGGTAGCTGGGACGGTCTGTCACAAAGCCGGCTCTGAACTCCTCACCCGAGCCCCTAGGTAGGGGCAGAAATCCGCCTGGCGCTGCCCAGCTGCACCGAATCCCTCCTCTGCCCACCCCAAAGGGTTTAACCCCACGGGAGCCAAGCCCGGAGGGGAGCCGGCTGCGGGGGGAGCCAGTCTGGGGGGGTCCGAGGAGGAGAGGACGGGGCTCGTGCTCAGGCCCGGGGGGCCTGGGGTGACAGAGTCTTGGAGGCCAGAAAGTCCCATGGGGTCATCGACTGGGCTCGTGTCTAGTCAGGCCCAGGCCTGTCCCCTCCCTGGCGGATCGGCATAGAGGAACAAGGCACCTCAGGGCTCTGAACACGATTTGGGTCTTGCTAGGCAGGGTGTGTGTGGGGGGGGTGTTGGGAAATGGCTGCAAGTGCTGCGGGTGCCAAGCTGCCGGGAGCCAGGCCAGCGGAAGGAGGCTGGCACGGAAGTTAGTAACGGAACTAGGGGGCATTTAGTGAGTTGTCCTTGACCCGGCCTGTTTCCTGCAGCCCCTGCTAGCTGAACCCTGGGCTCCCCCACAGTTCCAGTGAGCCGCTTCTGGCTGAAAGCCCCCAAGACTCCCAACGATTTGTGCTGTTCATGCCTTTAAAGAGACAAACGTTTTCCAGCTCCACGGGGGCCCCAAAGTGAGGGTCTGGCTTTGCAGAGGGCCCGCAGACCCCCCTGAGTCAGGGCTAGTTGCGGGTGCTTTGCCGTAACTGGAGCACTCATTTCCCCGGGCTCCCCAAGACGTCCCAGCGTTAGGCCCCGGCACTCGGGGGCATAGGGCCTGTTGGGTCCCGGGGCTGCGGCTGGGGGCACATGGTTTGTTTTGGTACCATCTGCACCTGAGTCTTCTCTCCTAGTTTCACATCCACATGCTGCTGTTCGGTCGAGTTCTCGAACGCCCACGTGAATGAACCCAGGCTGGGGGCGGGGGTGGCAGCCCCTGCTGGCAGCGGTGAGGCGTCCCGGCCTCCAGGCCCCTACGGGCAAAGTGATAGGGAGACTGGAACGACCTGGGGGGCATCGGGTGCCCTCTGCCAACTACGCCAAATCACTCTGTGGCTTTGAATCCACCTGGGGGTTCCTTTTATGCTGGGCTGGCATCCAGGGCTGGGCTAGCAGGGGGCTGTGGGTCGGGAGTGAGGGGCACTGGCAGACCTGCAGGTGGGAGGAGCCCGGGCTGGATTCTTGCCCCTAAAGGAAACTAGTGTCTGTTTTGAGCTGGGAGTGCTGGGGGGGATGTCTCCAGCACCCCCTTTCCGTACAGAGCTGAGTCTGGTTCAGTGGCACCGTGGGATCAGGGCCTGCGGGGGGAGCTGGGTTAGAGCCACCGGGCCAGCGTCTGATCCTGGCAAGGCAACAGCGGCTGTTTCCCATGGTGGCTGCGGAGCCGGGAACGGTGGAGGCGCCGGGCATGGTCCTCCCCGTGAGTCAGGGACATGGGGCCTTTCCCTTGTAGGGGGCGCTGGCTCTGATCTGGCCCCAGGGCAGGGACTGGCTTGCTGGGGGGGGAATGGGGCATGGGGCCTTTCCCCTCTAGGGGGCACTGGCTCCGATCCGGCCCCAGGGTGGGGGTGGGGCGGGGGCTGGCTGGCTGGGGGTGGGGGGATGGGAATGCCAACCACCAGAATAAAGCAGTGCTAAAGGAGCGGCATCCACCAGCCAGGAGCAGCGGCCCCAGATGTGGTGAGCGGGGGAGGGTTCTGCCACATCTGGGCCTCGCTGTGGTTCTAAGAACAGCGGGTGTGGGGGGCTCAGCAGCCCCATGCCCCCAGCAGCTCGGGCAGCAGGCTCCAGGGAGGCAGGGGTTCAGCAGTGGCACAAAGGCATTTGCAGGTTTGTCCCTGGAGAGGAGCCAGGCCCTGACCCCTGGGGAGCCCGCACGCCAGTCCCCACCCTGGGGCTGGATCGGAGCCGGCACCCCTGAGAGGGGAAGGGCCCCGTGTCCCAGCCCCTGGCTCTGTTTCTGTGGCCCGGGGTCCTCCTCTTGCTGGTTTCCTGGGCTGGGTGTGAAGGCCCTCCCCCCAGCTCACCTGCTGCCCTGGTTTGTCTTCCCAGAGGAGGGGCTGAGACGCCAGGGAGGGCCCCACCATGGCCCAGTGGCAGGAGGTCCAGCTGCTGGAGAAGACCTACCTGGAGAAGGTGCACGAGCTGTACTCGGAGGACCACCTGCCCATGGAAGTACGGCAATACCTGGCCCCCTGGCTCGAAGACCAGAACTGGTAACTGCGGGGCTGGGGAGGGAAGGGTTAACCGGGGGGGTGGGGCAGTCGGCAGCTGGGATCCCCAGGCACAGGGGTTGTCTCAGCTCTAAGGGGGGGGGGTCTGATTTGGGGGCTCGGGGGTAGGGGAAAGACCCCCCCCCCCCCCCCCCGATATGAGGGAAGGGAGAGCAGGAGAAGGCGGGTGGGTCTCCAGGAATTGGCTCAGCTGTGGGCTCCCCCAGAGCATGCAGTCAACGACCCCTGGGTGCCTCTCCTGGCATGGCTCCATGGGTCCCCCATTGGACTTGTGAGGAACAGGCAGGAAAGGGACAGCGCCCCCCACACCCCCCCGGGTCAGTGTGGGATCGTCTGGGAGCTGGCCGTGGCTGGGGCTCTGCAGTGCGCCCCCTTGTTCCTGCCCCAGGAGCCGGGCGGCTGAGCCCCACTCTGCCGAAGCCCACATGCTCTTCCACACCCTGCTGGCCCTGCTGGACGACCAGTACAGCCGCTTCGGGACCCGCACAGAGGACTTCGTGCTCAAGCACAACCTCCGCAAGTCCAAGCTCAACTTGCAGGTAAGGAGCGGGGCGCTGGGGGGTGTGGGTGTGGGTGTGTGCTGGCCTGCGGGGGGGGGAGGGGGGGCAGGGTGCTTTACCCGGCCCCACTGACCCACCCCCCCCACGTTCTCTTCCAGGCCAAGTACCAGGAGTGCCCGGAGCAGCTGGCCAATGTCATTGCCAACCTGCTGCGGGAGGAAAAGGCCATTCTGAACCGGGGGCTCAAGGCCCAGCAGGCAAGCCGGGGGCGGGGCTTATGGTATCCCCCCCCCACCTGGCTTCCCGCAGCACAGCGCCCCCTAGTGCCATGTGAGGGCATCGGGGTCAGCACTGACTGCAAGGGGAGAGCGCACCCAACTTGGCTGGGCGCCCCCCCTGGCACCGCAAATGGGGAGAGCCTCCTCCCTGGCTCACTGCCGTGAGGCCCTCTTCTCTCCCCGGCGTGGGCCTGCAGCTGGCTCTGTCTGGGGGGTGGGGTGGGGATCCCAGCCTGGGGCACGGCGCCTGTGAGGCTAAAAGGGGCCTGACCCTTGTCCGCCCCCCTGCAGGCTGCAGCTCAGCCGACCTCCAGTGCCCCGATGGAGACAGACCGGCAGCAGAAGATCGAGCGGCGCCTGGTGGAGACCAGGGCAGCGGTGCAGGTGGGTATGGCCCGACTATCACGTATGGGGCCTGGTGTGCTGCCCCCCTCCCTGCCCGGAGCTGGGGTTGAATCTGCGACCAGGTGGCTCCATCCCCCTAGGGCCCAGATGCTGTCCCAGTGCCCGGGCCCCAGGCGCTCCCTGCCCCTGAACCGGTTCCCTTGGCGCCCCCCCGCAGGAGCTGGATCGCGAAGTGCGGCACCTGGAGGAGCTGCAGGACACCTTCGACTTCCGCTATAAGATGCACCGAATGGTTGGTGAGGAGCTGAGCCTGGCAGGGCCTGGAGGCCGCAGAGTGGCAGGACCCGGCTGGCTGGTGGAGAGGGGTGTAATGGGGCTGAGCAGCACTGGGGGCTAGGGGTAGTCAGGGGGGTGGGGGATCCCCTCTGCCTGCTGTACCCCAGCGTGCTGGAGCGGCCAGGCTGGGGGCGCTGGAGAGCACGGCGGGTGTAGATCTTTGATTTTCCTTTTAAATAAGGGCAGAGCCGGGCCCCGGGAGGGGCTGGGGGGTGACTCAGAGAGGAGAGCTCCTCCCCAGAGCCAGCGCTGCCCTGCCTGCCCCAGGGCCGCGCGTGTGGGCTGAGGCCTCCTGTTCTGCGGGCTGGGGTTCAGCAGGGGGCGCTCTCCCCTTGGAGTCAGCGCTGCCCCTGTTCCAGCTAGGGGGCGGGGGGCTCAGCAGGGGGCGCTGTGCGGCGCTAGGGGGCAGGTTCTGACCCCATGGCTGCCGTTCCTGTCCCCCCCCGACCCTCACTGCGCCCTGTCGCCATCTCCCCAGCAAACGGCGCTCCCGCCAGCCCCGAGCTGGCCCGCCAGACGGAGCAGCTGCAGGCCATGCTGAACAGCCTGGACCGGAGCCGCAAGGTGAGGCTCCACACGGGGCCAGCCCCTTGCTTGGGGGGCAGTCCTAGTGGGGCTCTGTGGGTCCCTGGAGCAGCTGGGTCAAGGTGGCAGTCATCCCTTCCCCCCCCACACACACTTTCTCCGGGGGCTGGTTTCCTGGGTCCCTTCCCCACTGGGTCTTGTCCGGCCATGCCTCAGTTTCCCAGGAGCTGCCTCCTAGCCAGCCTGGGCTCAATGTTGAGCTGGGAGCTGTGCACAGCCGGTCGCCCCAGGGGGGCTGGTGTCTTCCCCATGGGGTTCTCCCTGTCCTTCCCCCCCCCCCCACTGCACCCCCATTGTACTTAAAGTACTGCACAGGGTCTGTTCAGGGGGAATAAGGCAAAGCGTCACATTTCTTGATAATACATGTATCCATCAGCCCTGTGTCATACGCAAATGATAGATATCTCTCACACACTCACTCACTCTGTCTTGTTGTTGTTACCAATGACTTGCTCCCCTTAACTTCACTGGCCAGGTGAGTTAGATGGGGGTGGGGTGGAGCTGGGCGACCGGATCAATGCTCCCATGTTGACAAGACGAGACCCGGGGTCCTCTCGAAGACGCTTCACATTTATAGCAGCTTCCCCCTCCTGCAAATCTGACCCAGATGCAAAATCTGTGTCCGTGTCCCTTGGTCCTTTGTGCTGCTCCCTTCTGGGCCTCGTCCCGATGCTGTTCAAAGAGGGTGTCTTCAAAAGAAGGAGCTGGCTTCTAACTCCCCAAGGCCGTCACTATGTCGGCTCTTCTTTAGTGAGCCCACTTGACAAGTTGTGTTGGCCTGGGGTCTGGCTTCCATCCCCACTCCAACTGTTGCAGTTGTCTGGAGGTGCTGCCTTCCACGCCTGGGCAATTGATTAAAAAGGGGGGGTGGGGGGGATCTTATTCTATTCCAAGCAAAAAGACCTTTTTTTAACATTATACCAGGGCTCAATTTAAAGTTTGCTCTATAAGGATCTGATACAAAGTTGTAGGAAAATAGAGGCATAACACAAAGTCATATGAAAGTTATGTGAAGATGCTTAATGCAGAGATTTATCTCACCCCCCTGCCCTCCCCCAGCTGAGCTAGCAGGAGCCGGTGGGGCAGGGCCTGGGGCCCCTCGTGGGTCGCCCGGGGTCACAACGGACACAGTCTCTCTGGCAGGACGTGCTGGCCCGGGCGCAGGAGCTGCTGGGCCGTTGTGAGACGCTGCGGGATTTCCTGCTGGAGGAGCTGGCCGAGTGGAAGGAGCGGCAACGGAGGGCCTGCCTCGGGGCAGCCTGCGACACCAGCCTGAGCCACCTGCAGACCTGGTAGGGGGCGATTGGGGGATGCTGCACCCCCCCTTGGGAGTCTGGGACCCTTCCGCCAGCTGAGCGCAAACCCCCAGCTGGCTGTACGGTCTGCAATTCGAGGTCCCCAAGCCAGGGACAAGGGTGAACCCCCCGGTGTCCCAGCCAGCCCCTGGGGCTCTGCAGCCTGTCTCCCCACCTGGGCGAGCCTCCCTCTGCACAGATGGTCCGTGATTGCCCCAATATTCAGGTGACTCCCCGTCCCAAAGGACCAGGCACGTCCCCCACATCCATCGGCCCCTAGATCCGGTCCCAGCGCCGGCGGTTTTAGCCAGTCCTGTCCGAAAGGATCCTGCCGTTGAGTAGGGAAGAGAAACGAGCGAGTGATTGCCTGGGGGGAAGCGGGTCCCCTTGGTCCCCCTGGGCCGGCTCCCCGGGCGTCTCTCGGCCGCCTTGTGCGTATCCCGCTCCCCGGCCGGCCGCGCGTCCCAGAGGGGTCCCCCCAGCCCGGGCCGACCCGGCTCCTCTCCGCCTGCAGGTTCACGGCGGCGGCCGAGGGGCTGTTCCAGCTCTGGCGCCTCCTGTGGGCCCTGGGTGACCAGCACGCCAAGCTCACCTACCTGCATGACCCGCTGGAGACACGGCGGCCCCTGCTGGAGAGCCGGCTGCAGGAGCACCTCTCCTGCCTCTTGAGGAGGTGCTGGGGGCTGTGCCCGGGGGGGGGGGCTGCCCCATAGAGGAGCAGGGGCTGCCCTTAGGAGCCAGGGAGGGGGTGGGATGATGCGCGGAGGAGTGGGGGGCTGCCCCTAGGAGCATGGGGGTGCATGGGTGGCTGGTACACGGGGATGTGGGGCTGCCCCTAGGAGCGAGGGACGGGGTGGGGGGGAGGGAGAGCTCAGGGGTTTGAGCATTGGCCTGCTAAACCCAGGGTTGTGAGTTCAATCCTTGAGGGGGCCATTCAGGGATCTCAGGCAAAAATTGGGGATCAGTCCTGCTTTGAGCAGGGGGTTGGACTAGATGACCTGCTGAGGTCCCTTCCAGCCCTGATATTCTATGTGTGGAGGGGCCATGGGGCTGCCCCTAGGAGCAAGGAGGGTTGGTGGGGGGGCGGCCCCACAGATGCATGGGGGAGGGGCTCCTTGGTGCAGAGACCTGGCCTGCTCAGGCCAGAGGAGAGGGGGGGTTATTGGGCTATGTGGTATTCGGGGGGGGGGGCGGAATTGAAGCGAGTTGGGGGGCACCTTGCGGCGCTAACGCCTCCCCCACCCCCCAGTGCCTTCGTGGTGGAAATCCAGCCCATCATGCCTTTCCCCAACCAGAGGCCCCTGGTTCTGAAAACTGGCAGCAAGTTCTCCGTCCGCGCCAGGTGAGCCCCCCCCACCCCAGCCCGTGGTGCCCCGCCTGTCCCCAACCATCCTGCGTGGGGGGGCTGGCGCTTACTCCACAGCCTTCCCCCCAGGGGCGGGTCCCTGCTTCTGCCCCTGGCAGGATGGGCCCTGTTGGGAGCAGGTGCTAGAGGCTGAGGGGCGCTGAGCCCTGGGGGCAGCGTGCCCCCCCTTCCCCCATGCAGGCCATGTGCCCTGCTAGTCCAGTGGCCAGGGCGACAGGCTCTTCTCCCCGCAGGCTCCTGGTCAAGCTGCAGGATCAAAGCCATCGGCTGGAGGCGAAAATCATCCTTGACCAGTGAGTCAAGTTCCCCCCCCATTCCCCCTCGTGAGGGCCTTAACCCCCTTCCCCCTGGGGCCTGGAGGCAGCCCAGTTGCAAGGCAGGGGGTGGGGGCCGGGGGTACAGGGAGCTCTGGCTGGGGGAGGGGGACAAGGAAACCCTGGTTGGGGCTGGGGGAGCCCGGGGTGGGGCAGGGTCCCCGGTGAACCAGTTGATTACTGATGGTGTCCTGTCTTTCCTCCTGCAGGCATCCCCCCGATGTGAAAGGGTGAGAACCAGGCCAGAACCTAGGAGAAACCTGGGGGGATGGACGGACTGGGACATGGGGCCTTTCCCCTCTAGGGGGTGCTGGTTCCCATCTGGCCCCAGGGCAGGGACTGGCTGGCTTGGGGGCAGGTGGGGGAACGGGGCCTTTCCTTTCTAGGGGGCACCAGCCCTGATCTGGCCCCAGGGCAAGAGGCAGGGATCCAGTTTGTTCCCGGCACCAGCTCTGCTCCAGCCGAGGTGCCCGGGGCTGAGAGCTGCCCTCTGGCCAGCAGTGCCCCCCATACGCTTGGCCTAGGGCTCTTACCCAAGAGAGCCTGGAGAGAGAGCATTTACTGGGCGTCCACCATCGGGGTCTCTGGCCCTGCCCCGCCCAGCGCCTTACTCCCATATGACGGCCAGGACTCGAACCCGGGTTTCTGAGCCAGCGCGGCACGACCGCCCTCACGGCCCCGCCCCTCTCGCTTCTCCCCGCAGGTTCCGGAAGTTCAACATCTTGACGTCCACCAGCAAGACGCTGGTCCAGGACGATCCGCAGATGGAGGGGCTGGTCTGCGACTTCCGGCACATAGTATGGGCCAAGCGTGGGGGCCCGGACACCGGGGTGCCCAGCTTGGGGAGGGGGTGGAATGGGGAGCCCGGACGCCTGGGTTCTCAGTAGACTGGGGAGCAGAGGGCGGGTGGGGTGCGGAGCTTGGATGCCTGGGTTCTCAGCTTGGGGAGTGGGAGTGGGGAGCCAGGACTCTGAAGTGGGGGAGCCTTTGGCCCCGTGGCCCCCCTGCTGCGGGCTGGGCTGGGTGGGCAGGGGCCAAGAGCTGACTCCCCCCCCTCTCCTTTGCAGTCACTGAAGGACCAGAGAGCCGGGGCCTCGGGCAAAGGCAGCAAAGGTGCCAGCGAGGTGGGTTTCCTGCATGTGCCCTGCTGGCCAGTGGCGGCCCTGGCTCTGTGGATGAGGGGAAAGCGGTGGACGTGTTGTTCCTTGACTTTAGCAAAGCTTTTGACACTGTCTCCCACAGTATTCTTGCCAGCAAGTTAAAGAAGTATGGGCTGGATGAATGGACTATAAAGGTGGATAGAAAGTTGGCTAGATTGTCGGGCTCAACGGGTAGTGATCAATGGCTCCATGTCTAGTTGGCAGCCGGTATCAAGTGGAGTGCCCCAATGGTCAGTCCTCGGGCCGGTTTTGTTCACTATCTTCATAAATGATCTGGAGGATGGTGTGGATTGCACCCTCAGCAAGTTTGCAGATGACACTAAACTGGGAGGAGAGGTAGATACGCTGGAGGGTAGGGATAGGATACAGAGGGACCTAGACAAATTAGAGGATTGGGCCAAAAGAAATCTGATGAGGTTCAACAAGGACAAGTGCAGAGTCCTGCACTTAGGACGGAAGAATCCCATGCCCCGCTACAGACTAGGGACCGAATGGCTCGGCAGCAGTTCTGCAGAAAAGGACCTAGGGGTGGCAGTGGACAAGAAGCTGGGTATGAGTCAACAGTGTGCCCTTGCTGCCAAGAAGGCCAATGGCATTTTGGGATGTATACGTAGGGGCATTGCCAGCAGATCGAGGGAATGATCGTTCCCCTCTATTTGGCACTGGTGAGGCCTCATCTGGAGGACTGTGTCCAGTTTTGGGCCCCACACTACAAGAAGGACGTAGAAAAATTGGAAAATGTCCGGCGGAGGGCAACAAAAGTGATTAGGGGACTGGAACACATGACTTATGAGGAGAGGCTGAGGGACCTGGGATTGTTTAGTCTGTGGAAGAGAAGAGTGATGGGGGATTTGATAGCTGCTTTCAACGACCTGAAAGGGGGTTCCAAAGAGGATGGATCTAGACTGTTCTCACTGGTACCAGATGACAGAATGAGGAGTAATGGTCTCAAGTTGCAGTGGGGGAGATTTAGGTTGGATATTAGGAAAAACTTTTTCACTAGGAGGGTGGTGAAGCACTGGAATGCGTTACCTAGGGAGATGGTGGAATCTCCTTCCTTAGAAGTTTTTAAGGTCAGGCTTGACAAAGCCCTGGCTGGGATGATTTAGTTGGGGATTGGTCCTGCTTTGAGCAGGGGGGTTGGACTAGATGACCTCCTGAGGTCCCTTCCAACCCTGATATTCTATGATTCTGTGACCAGCCCCAGGGCAGAGCTGGGTGCGGGAGGAGAGCTGGCCCTGGGTTTATTGGTGACCGCCCCCCCCCATGCTGCCCCCTAAGGGCTGCCGCCCCAGATGGGTCTCACTGCTGCCCCTGGAGGTGCCCAGCCCTGCTTCAGACCCTCTGGGTTATGACTTCCCTTAACAAACCTGGACCCAGTGCGGTCACCCCTCTGCGGGGACCCCCTGGGAGGCACTGAAATGCCGGGGGGGCCAAACCCCCGCGGGGCCAGGGGCAGGCCATCCCGTGTGGCCAAGAGGGGTCTGGGGCCGGGTGGGGTTGGGACCCTGGCTGACCCCCCCCCCCTCCCCCGTCTCTGTTGCAGGGCCTGCCGGCTGTCACGGAGGAGCTGCATCTCATCACATTCACACTGGACTATAAGTACCAGGATCTGGTGCTGGAGCTGCAGGTGGGCGAGGGGAGGGCCTGAGTGGGGGCGGAGGGGGCATGGGGAGGGTGGTCTTGTTCCCTCTCCCGCTGACGGCTCTCCTCTTCCCCCACACAGACATCGACCCTGCCTGTGGTGATCATCTCCAGCAACAACCAGTTCTCCAGCGCCTGGGCCTCTGTGCTCTGGTTCAACATGCTCAGCCCAGACCCTAAGGTGAGGGGCTCTCCCCCCCACACCCCAGCAGGCCAGCGGCACAGCTGCTCTGCGCAGTTGGGGACTGTGGGGGGCCGGGGTCAGGACACCACAGTGGGAGGAGGGCCTCTCTTCCCCACACGCGGTTCAGCCCAGGTGTGGGGGTCCCCTGGCAGCCACGTCCCTGTGGCCCATATGCCCCCCCCATGCCGCTCCAGCAGCGGGGCCCCAATCTGGTTACGGGGCACCCCAGCCCCTCCCCCTCTAACCCCCGCTCTCTCCCCACAGAACCAGCTGTTCTTCTCCGCGCCGCCGGCTGCCTCCTGGGCCCAGCTGGCCCAGGTGCTGAGCTGGCAGTTCTCAGTCGCCACCAAACGCGGGCTGGACGAGGACCAGCTGCACATGCTGGCGGAAAAGCTCTTTGGTAATGGCCCCCCCGAGCGACAATGGGGAGAGGGGGGAGTCAGCACCTGGCTAGCACCCCTATCGGCTACAAAGCAGACTCCCCTGGGCGGGAAAGGCCCAGGCCTGTCCTAGCTGTAGCCCATCACCGGGGTCTCTGGGCAGCGCTGAGGGGAGGGTGAGCCTAAAGGGAAGACCCCCAAGTCCACGGGGCTCAGAGCAGCTGGGCCAGACCCCCTGGCCTCTGTGCTGCCCCCTCCCACATGTGTGGAGCGTGCAGCGAGGGTGGGAGGAATGGCACAGGGCGGGCAAGGACGCCTGGGTTCTCCTCCCAGGTCTGACCTTGGGGGAGTCGCTTCTCCTTCCTGTACCCCACTTTCCCCTTTGCAGTTTCGGGGGGGCAATTGTGATGGGATCCCCGGGGTGCAGCCTGGGACTGTGGGACCCCAGATTAGTGAGTTCAGGGGTATCACCCACAATGCCTTGCTGGTGACGAGCAGCAAACCCCTCCAGGCGCTCAGCACAACGGCATGTGGGCCCCCCCCCACCTCCAGCTAGACTGTGTGGCTGCTCCCAGAGCCCCTCAGGAATCACACAGGGAGAGGCACCAGCCGAATCCGCCCAGCTCCCAGCCTTGCACCCCAGGAATATACCATCCTGCTCTGCTCAAGACAAGCTGTGCCAATTTATTTATTGGCTCCCCACTTCATCGATGGAAAGTGGGCGTACGCCAGCCTTTGCAAACCCCCTACCAAACACCCCAGGCAAACTCACTGGTAAAGATAAACAGTTAAACAAGTTTATTGACGACAAAAGAGATCTTAAGTGATAGGCAAAAAGTCAGGGTTCGTTACCAAGAGAAAATCAAACGCTGGATATAGCCGTTCATAGTATGCAGATTTCACCCCTGAAACTTGGGCCAGTCTCCTCTGCTGGAGTCTTCAGTCTTCTGAGCATCCTTGTTGCTGGCAGCGTAGGTGGGGGCAGGAGAAAGGCCCAGCATGGGCCCCCCCCTTCTGTTTTGTACCCTTAGTCCAGGTGCTTGGAGAACGCAAGTCCAGCCATGTCTGGAGGGCGTTGCTGAGTCCCTAGGTGAAGCAGTACCCGAGTGTCTCCCCTGTGCTGAGTCACTGAATTGTAACTTCTCTGCTGGACAATGGCTGGTGATGTCCCTTCAGCACCCACCCGGGTGTTCGTTCCCCCCCCTTGTCGTTGTCTCTGGGGAGTTGGTATCTCCCACAGCATGTTCTAGTGACAACCCCACAACACAACTCTGATTTCCTAGGCACTGATGATACACACACGTTTAACTCGAACAGTGGCTTTCTGCAGCTCGTAACCTTGCCCCGATCCCTCCCACGGCCTGCTTTCTACACAATATCCCCATTCAGTGTTGATGCGGAATATGGGGGTTACAGGGTGCTCCCCTGAGTATAGAATGTCACAGCGATGGTCCCTGCTTGGGGGGGGTGAGGACCCCACAGAAGCTGTGTTAATTCACCCTGCAAATATCTTCCCCCATTTTCTTCCCCCACCCCCATCTTATAGGGCTGGAAGCCACCCCCGCCAGCACTCTGACCTGGGCCAGGTTCGCCAAGGTAAGCGGCTGCTGAGTGACTGACTGGTCCCCCCCCTGCCCCCCCCCCGGAATCCCCCCCCTCAGCCTTTCGCCTCCTCTCTGCTGCAGGACAACCCACCCGTCTTCTCCTTCTGGACCTGGTTGGACGGGATCCTGAGCCTGATCCAAGAACACCTGGCTCAGCTCTGGAAGGATGGGTAGGGGCTGGCTGGGAGGGGAGGGGGATGATCTGAGCAGCGCATGGGGTGCCTACTCCCCTGTGTGGTCAGACCCAGAACTGCAGCCCCCCCCCCCCGCCCCCGGTTTTCCCCAAACCCTGAACCTGGGGCCAGCGCAGCCCATTATGGGGGTTTGAGTGGAAGGGGCAGAGGAGGGTTTAAGGGAGCAGCTTCCCCCCCCGCCCTGGTAAAGGGGATAGGGGCTGTGCAGCCCTGGCGGAGCGAGAACCCCAGGTGCTGAGCGTGGTGGGGAGGGGGCGCCGGGGGGCCTCCGCTGGGGGCCCTGCCAGCGGCTGACCCAGGCTCCGCTCCCCTCCAGGCACATCATGGGCTTCGTGAGCCGCAAGCGGGAGCGGCAGCTGCTGAAGAGGAAGCAGATGGGCACCTTCCTGCTGCGTTTCAGTGAGAGCAGCCGCGATGGCGGCATCACCTGCAGCTGGGTGGAGCCCGGGGAGAAAGGTGGGTCTGCCCCAGGGCGCGGCCCCCTGCTCCCCAGGTCTGGAGCCAGGCTCTTCTGGCGCCAGGCACTTGCACTGGGGAAGAGAACCCAGGAGTCCGGGCTCCCAGCCCCCCTTCCTCAAACCCCTGGACTCGACTCCCATCCCACAGCTGGGAAGAGAACCCATGAGTCTGGGCTCCCAGGCCCCTGCACCCCTCACTGGATGCCAGTTATCGTGGGGCAGGGGCAGTGTTACCTAATGGTTGGATTGGAGCATTGTGAATCTGGACTCCTGGGTTCTCCTCCCGGCCCTGGGAGACCTTGGTGCAGCCTGTTCTGTCTCTGGGGCTCTCCCTTGCAGTGACACACCCCTCCCCTCGCTGAGCTGACACCCCCCCCCCCAGGTCAGCCCAAGGTCCGTTCCGTGGAGCCCTACACCAAGGTGGAGCTGAAGTCGCTGGAGCTGCCGGACATCATCCATGACTACCAGCTGGTGGCCGCCGAGAACATCCCCGAGAACCCCCTCAAGTTCCTGTACCCCAGCACGCCGCGGGACGAGGCCTTCGGGAAGTACTACACCGAGAGGAGGGAAGGTACCGGCCGGTCGCCTCCCCCCGCGGGCCCTGCTAGCCCAGCCCTGGGTTCCCCCTGCCCCACCCACAGCTGTTCCAGTGCCCCTCACTCCTCCCAGCCCCGGTACAACACTCCTCACCTAGGCCACAGATAGAATAGGTAGAATTGGTGACCAGCTGGTTTGGTAGCGGGGGTTGGGAGGGTCTTTCGGGGGGGGGGCAGGGGCGTGTTTCTGCCTGGCTCCCCTCTCTCTGACCCCTCTGTTCTCCTTTCTCCCACCAGTGGACCTGCTGGAGCAGAAGAAATACCTGAATCAGCGTCTGATCAGAGTGTCCTCCAGGTGAGGGAGCCGGACGCCGGAGTCCCTGTGTGCTGGCCTGCCCCAGCCCTTCACAGGAAGGACCTGATTTCTCCCCCACCCCATCCAAGGACCCAGCCCCTCTCCCTGGCCGGGCTGCCCCACTGACCGCAGGAGCTCCCCTGGGGCACTCCCAGCTACACCCTCTCCCCTCCCTAGTCTCGGCTACGCAGCCCTTCAAATCCCCCCACCCGCACCCCTGCAGAGCGGCTCGAGATGGGCCTGGGTCTTGGGGGCTGGGTGGGGTTGCCCCATTCCTGAGAGCTCCCCACCACACACTCACTAAGCCAGGCGCCCCCTCTCTTCCTAGGCAGCCCAGTGAGCCGTGGCTCCCGGAGGGCATGGTGGAGGCCTCCCCTGCAGCTGCGGGGCCGGGGCCCGATCAGCTGGAGGTGCTGGAGCTGGGGACCGAACAGCTGGAGCTTGGAGCCAGTGGGCTGGAGGTGCTGGAGGCTCTGGAGCAGGAACTGGACCTGATGAGGTTTGATTCAGCTGGTGAGTCTCCAGTTCCCGCCCTGGGGGAGGGCACTTGGCACCAAGAGGGTGGGGGGAGTAAAGAGGCCAAACCCCTCCCCCCAGCTCTGCCGGTGCCCCTCACTCCCGACCCGCGGGCCCCTACGCTCCCAGCCCTGGCTGTGTCCCATTTCCCCAGGCCCTGCGGCCCCCGGCTCCCCAAGAGCAATGTTCCCTCTAATTTTTGACAGGCCCTGTGCGCAAAAAATGTCTTCTGTGCAAATTGTTGTGGGCGCCGTGTTTCGCGGGGTTTCGGGCCCGTGCGCGTCCACACGGGCACAGCTTCGAGGGAACCGTGCCCATGAGCCCGGCTCCCCTTCTCTTGCAGACTCCAACATGCTCCGAGGCGGAGACCCCTACCTGCCCCTGCCGGACGACGTGCCCCCCCCGGTGCTGCCTGGCAACACCTTGTTCCTGGGGGCCAACGACTTCCCCCCCCTCCAGGTCGACTCCAAGGACTTCCAGTGACAGCGTCTCCCACTGCTGCCCCATCACTGCTGGGACTCGGAGGCCAGGGCCTTTTCCCGAGCCCCACTGTGTATTGGGGGGTGGCCCTGGCTCCGCCCTCTCCTGGTCTTCCGGTTAGACCTCGGGGCATCAGTGAGGCCAAGGGGGTCTGGCCCAACCCCTGCCCATCCTGTCCATGGGAGGTGAAAGCCCCTGGACTCTGGGTGTGGGGCTCTCAGCCTGAGCCTACAGCTGGGTGCCTTGCCCTAGGTCCTCGCAGGTGTGGGGGGGAGTTTTACCATAGCACCCAGGAGTCCGGGAGGAGTGGAGCCACCCTGTGAACTCCCCCCATGGCGTAGCCATGTCTCCCTGGGGTCTCTCGTTGGCGTGGAGGTGGGGGGCTGTGGTTCTTGGGCCTTCCTGGCTAGGGGGGTTCTGACCTTAATGCTGAGGGTGTGGGTGGCTTTGCCCCCCGGGGGCCGTGAGACTAACTCTCTCTCTCTTGTAAATAAACCTCCCCTGCCCTAGCTCACTGTGGTGCTGTGGGGGGGCCCTCCTGGAGGGGAGGGAATCCCCTGAACTGTCTGTCCCCGTTATGTGGGGGCCCTGTGTGGGCCACACCCTCCTGCTGCCAGGGGCTGTTGTGCTCTGTGTGGCCACCAGAGGGCACCACTCCCTCTCCTACTGTTCCCACCACTCTCTTCTCCCCCCCTGCCGACAGATTACAGGGGAGGGGGTCCCCCCACTGGGAAAGGAGCTACTGGCCCTTCGCTGAAGCGGAGCTCTGCTCCCCCTAGGCCAGGAGCAGGGCCCTGGCTGGCTCCTGAGGCCCCCATGCTGGGCTGGTTCCAGGGCAGGGGGGCCTGGAGCTGGATGTGGGGAGGAGCTAGGAGGGGTGTGTGCGTGTGTTACCAGGTGGGGCCCCCCCCAGGGGGTGCACTAGGGGCTGGGACTGGCTTGAGGCTTCCCAGGGCATCCAAGCTGGGACCAGACCCCAGGCGTTCTGCCCCTCACTCCATCCGTGTCCCCCCTGCCCCTCAACCATGCTGCTTCCTCCCGAGGGGCTGTGGGGGCGAGCAGAGCAGGGAGGACGATGCTCCTGGTGCCTGCCGACGGGCAGAAGCCCCTTCCCCTATAACTGCCCTGGGGGGGAGGGATAGCTCAGTGGTTTGAGCATTGGCCTGCTAAACCCAGAGTTGTGAGTTCAATCCTTGAGGGGGCCCTATAGGGATCTGGAGCAAAAATTGGGGATTGGTCCTGCTTTGAGCAGGGGCTTGGTACTAGATGACCTCCTGAAGGCCCTTCCAACCCTGATATTCTGTGGGAGAGACTCTGGCCCATTCCTGGGGAGCTGCTGCTGGGGGGCTGGGGTGGGGTGGGGGGTCTCTGAGATTGTACTGTCCTGATCTGCGTGGCCCAAGGGGGCCGTGGCCCTTGCAATCCCCTGCTCCCCCACCCTGGTGCCAGCCACGTGGCTGGGAATTGTTCATAATATTTTGTATGACAACTGTGTGTGCCTCAGTTTCTCTATGTGCTGCACCGTTAACTAGGTATGCGGTAGGGGAAAGGTTTACTCCTTGCAATGACCCAGGCGTGACTGATGCCTGGCTGGTGGGGCCTGGGCCCCTTGCCTCAGAAGACAATGGCCCAGACATTTGGATCCTAGCAACTAACAACCCCAGTCGGCTGATCCTCTGCAGGAAGCCGGCCAGGTGGGACCAGCTGGAGAACAAAGAGCCGAGGAGGAGAAGGGCCAGGTGCCGAGGTTTGCCCAGGAACAGAAGAAAGGACTGAGGCGGGCCAGGGGCCCCTGTTAAGTGCGGGCTCGTGGAAGCCGCAGACTCTTCGGGGCTGGGGCTGAGGGTGTTGGGCCCTGGCCTGACCCATGAGGACTTTCCTGGGATGTTCCCCTTCTCTGTGCTGCCCCAAGGGCTTTCTAGCCGTATAATAAACCCCCCGAACACCCCGAGGCATAGACTGGTCTGTACACATCAAACCTTTTACTAGGCACTTGCGGCTGGGGAGCCGATAAATAACATAAATAGCCACCCGGTGGGGGCATAAATACACAGCGGCTGCTCATAAATAACCCGCTGGCCGGGCAATAAATACGGGGGGGGGGTTACAACAACCATAAGAGTCCAGAAGTGGGGCTGGGCTCGCTGCACCGGACGGGAGCCGGGGGTCCACTGGGGCTGGGGTGCAGTCGGCTCCGTCGCTCCTGGATAAATGCTCCCCCTCAGCTTAGTGGGTGGCCGCGCTGTGGGCAAAGACCCGCGCCATCACGGCCGAGAAGGAGCAGAGCTGGCGGAGGATCCGGTGCTGGATCAGGGGCCGTTCCCAGGGCTGGCTGTGCGGCGGTGGGGTTCCTGACCCCTCGGCGAAGCTGCCGATCTGCTGGGCGAAAGGACAGCGGGGTTAGGCTGGGCCCCGGCCCAGGAGGTAGAACCCCCCCCCCCCCTCCCGCCAGGCACAGGCCTTGGGAGATGGCACTGGGCGCTTGGTGGCACCCCGGCCTGGAGGGGGCCAACAGGGGCTCCTGGCTACCGCTGGGGGGTTATTCCCCACACCCCCTGCTGCCCCGCGTGGGCCCCAGTTCCCCCACCCCCAGCCCAGCGGCTGGTGGACCCCAGGCCACGGGGCCCCTCTCACCTGGACGAGGCTGGTCAGCTGGACCAGGGCCCTCTGCAGCGCGGCCATGGGGCTGTCAGCTGGGCCCCTCAGCTCGTCAAAGACGTCGGAGCCCAGCAGGGCGCGGTAATGCCGCAGGGCCTCGTGGATCCGGCGCAGGCAGCTCTGGGGGCGGGAGGGGGGCATGAGGGGGTTTCGGGGGGGTCCCCCACATCCCTGCTGCTCCCCACCCACAGCTAGGGGCTTGTTCCCGAGTCCAGGGGGATTGGGGCTGGGGGAGACCCCGGCCCAGCTATGGGGGAAGGTCAGCAGCCTTTTCCCCCCCCCCCGAGGTCCCCCTCATTATTGAGGGGGGCTGAATGATTATTTTCTACATCTCTCTCCTTCCCTGCCCCCCAGCTCACACATCTGCCCTTCCCCCTCTGCCCCCAGCTCGCCTGTCTGTCCCCCCCCACCCCACCCGCGGGCCCGTCCGGTTGGTACCTGGTCAGAGCCCAGCTTGTCGGGATCGCAGTTGTCGCTGCATCGGATCTTGGGGGTCAGGTCCTCGCTGGGCTTCTCCTCCACCAGGTGCATCTGGTTGGGAGCAGCAGAGCTGGGGGTCAGCGCGGCCTGGCGCTGGGGGGCAGCTGCCCTCCCCCACAGCCCTTCACTTCCATCCATTGCCCCCCACTCCGTCCACAGCCCCCCCCTCCATCCATCACCCCAGCTGCCCCCATAGCCCCCCATGTCCATCCATTGCCTGAGCCATCACCCCAGCTGGCCCCTCACATCCCCCCACTTCCATCCATTGACCCAGTCACTCCCCCCAGCCGCTCCAGACATCCCCCCGCCCCCCATTCAGCTGCTGCACCCTACTCTGTGCACCTGCCCCTGCTCGCCCCCCCCCACACACGCATGGGCCCAAGGCTCAGGGGGTCACCCCCTAGAGAGATGCAATTCCAGACCCTGTCCCCCAATTGTCCCAGGCTGGTGTTCCCCAGCCCCTGAGATCCCAGGAAAGGCCCAGCTCAGAACTGGGATAGGCCCATGCGCTGGGTTTTTTAGACATGTTGTGAATTTCTGGAGCTGCTTCCTGGAAGGGGGGAGGAATCGCCCTCAGGGACGTCCCTGAGCGGCCAGGTGAGGGGCTGGCGGGGAGCCCTGACTCACCCCAAAGGGCCTAATGGGGCACCAACCCCCAAATACCCCTGCCCTAAAGGAAACGGGGCCCTGCAGCTGTCTGTCCCTCTGTCATTGGGCACGTCCCGCCCGCAGCCTGTCCACATACACCCCGTCTGTCCGTCCGTCACTGGATATGTCCCGTTCCCCCGCCCCCTGCCTGTCCACATACACCCCGTCTGTCCGTCCATCACTGGACACGTCCCGCCCGCAGCCTGTCCACATACACCCCGTCTGTCCGTCCGTCACTGGACATGTCCCACTTCCCTGCCCCCTGCCTGTCCACATACGCCCCGTCTGTCCGTCCGTCACTGGACATGTCCCGTTCCCCCGCCCCCTGCCTGTCCACATACACCCCGTCTGTCCGTCCGTCACTGGACATGTCCCACTTCCCTGCCCCCTGCCTGTCCACATACACCCCGTCTGTCCGTCCGTCACTGGACATGTCCCACTTCCCCGCCCCCTGCCTGTCCACATACACCCCGTCTGTCCGTCCGTCACTGGACATGTCCCACTTCCCCTGCCCCCTGCCTGTCCACATACACCCCGTCTGTCCGTCCGTCACTGGACATGTCCCACTTCCCCTGCCCCCTGCCTGTCCACATACACCCCGTCTGTCCGTCCGTCACTGGACATGTCCCACTCCCTGCCCGCTGCCTGTCCACATACACCCTGTCTGTCCGTCCGTCACTGGACATGTCCCACTTCCCTGCCCCCTGCCTGTCCACATACACCCCGTCTGTCTGCCATCACTGGACACGTCCAGCTCCTCCCCCGCCCCCTGCCTGTCCACATACACCCCGTCTGTCTGCCATCACTGGACATGTCCCGCCCGCAGCCTGTCCACATACACCCTGTCTGTCCGTCCGTCACTGGACACGTCCAGCTCCTCCCCCGCCCCCTGCCTGTCCACATACACCCCGTCTGTCCGTCCATCACTGGACACGTCCCGCCCACAGCCTGTCCACATACACCCTGTCTGTCGTCCGGATTCCCGTTCCCGCCCGCCGTCACATACACCCGTCGTCCGTCTGTCACTGGACATGTCCGCCCCCAACACCCCTCCGCCTGTCCACATACACCCTGTTGTCTGTCCGTCCGTCCTGCCGACATGTCTCCGTATCACTCACCCCGCCCCGCCTGTCACATACACCCTGTCTGTCGTCCTCACTGACATGTCCCGCTCCCCCCCCCCCCCCCCCCCACACACCCCCCCGTCCGTCCGTCACTGGACATGTCCCGCCCGCAGCCTGTCCACATACACCCTGTCTGTCTGTCCATCACTGGACACGTCCAGCTCCTCCCCCGCCCCCTGCCTGTCCACATACACCCCGTCTGTCCGTCCATCACTGGACACGTCCCGCCCGCAGCCTGTCCACATACACCCTGTCTGTCCGTCCGTCACTGGACATTTCCCGTTCCCCCGCCCCCTGCCTGTCCACATACACCCCGTCTGTCCGTCTGTCACTGGACATGTCCCGCCCCCTGCCTGTCCACATACACCCCGTCTGTCCGTCCGTCACTGGACATGTCCCGTTCCCCCGCCCGCCTGTCCACATACACCCTGTCCGTCCGTACTGGACAGTCCCCCCGACTGCCCATACACCCTGTCTGCATCATGACACACAACCACCCGTCTGTCCGTCCGTCACTGGACATGTCCCGTTCCCCCGCCCCCTGCCTGTCCACATACACCCCGTCTGTCCGTCCATCACTGGACATGTCCCGCCCGCAGCCTGTCCACATACACCCCATCTGTCCGTCCGTCACTGGACATGTCCCGTTCCCCCGCCCCCTGCCTGTCCACATACACCCCGTCTGTCCGTCCGTCACTGGACATGTCCCACTTCCCTGCCCCCTGCCTGTCCACATACACCCCGTCTGTCCGTCCGTCACTGGACATGTCCCGTTCCCCCGCCCCCTGCCTGTCCACATACACCCCGTCTGTCCGTCCATCACTGGACATGTCCCGCCCGCAGCCTGTCCACATACACCCTGTCTGTCCGTCCGTCACTGGACATGTCCCACTTCCCTGCCCCTGCCTGTCCACATACACCGTCTGTCTGCCATCACTGGACAGTCCAGCCCTCCCCCGCCCCCTGCCTGTCCACATACACCCCGTCTGTCTGCCATCACTGGACATGTCCCGCCCGCAGCCTGTCCACATACACCCTGTCTGTCCGTCCGTCACTGGACACGTCCAGCTCCTCCCCCCCCCCCCCCGCCTGTCCACATACACCCCGTCTGTCTGTCCGTCCCTGGACATGTCCTGCCCGCAGCCTGTCCACATACACCCTGTCTGTCCGTCCGTCACTGGACACGTCCAGCTCCTCCCCCGCCCCCTGCCTGTCCACATACACCCCGTCTGTCTGTCCGTCCCTGGACATGTCCTGCCCGCAGCCTGTCCACATACACCCTGTCTGTCAGTCCATCACTGGACACGTCCAGCTCCTCCCCCGCCCCCTCTGTCTGTCCGTCACTGGACATGTCCCGCCTGCAGCCTGTCCACGTACACCCCGTCTGTCCGTCCATCACTAGACATGTCCCATCCCACCCCACCTCCCGTCCACATACACCCCGTCTGTCCGTCCGTCACTGGACACGTCCCGCCCGCAGCCTGTCCACATACACCCCGTCTGTCCATCCTGTCACTGGACATGTCCCACCCCCCCACCCCCCAGCCTGTCCACACCCCCTCCTGGGGGCTGCCCAGACAGCAGCCAGGCAAGTGCCCCCAGCTGGCTCGGCTCTGCCTGCCCTGCAGGGGTCAAGCCCATCCCCGTGGCCTCAGCACTTCCCAGGCTTTATCCTCTCAAGCCCCATGAGCAGGGCAGGGCCGTCTGCTGGCTGGGACCCTGGAGCCCCCCCACCACACATCTGCCTCCAGCCGGCAGGGGCTCCCCTGCCCCCCTCTCTGGCCCCCCGTAGACCCCCCGTCAGTCCCTGCCCGGCCCCGCTCACCAAGCTCATGTGGCCCTCTATGTCCCAGGCCAGCTTGTTGACCCGGCTGGAGAAATCCCTGCAGAGCTGCCAGTTGGGGCTGGGTGCCCCCGGCAGGACCCTCCCCCGGGACGCAGCCAGCAGCCCCAAGAAGCAGAGGAGGGCGCCGGGCCAGTGGCTCCTGAGGCTCTGCATGTTGCCGGGTTGCCCTGGGTTGGTGTGTGGGGCGCTGGGCTGGGCCCCGGCTATTTATGGCTCTGCAGGTGACTCAACTCAACGGGCAGGTGGGGTTTCCCCTGGGGCGGCAGGTAGCACCCCCGAGGGATGGTGTCAGTGGCTGAGCACGATGTCATCACCGCCTGGGCCGGTTACTGCGAAATCGCTGCCTCCCCGCGAAAGCAGAAGCGATACTGGGGGGTGGGTGGGGGGGAGCGGGACCCAGGGATCACACCAGCTCCTCGGCTCCCTGTGGCTCTCCACCGAGAGCGACACCTGATCTGGGGCGGGGAGGGGGGCAACACCGGGCAGCTCCCAAATCCCCCTTCGCGCCCCCCTCCCAAACCCAAACCCAACAAACTCCCAGGTATTTTCTTACCGCTGAGTATGTCATCCCAGAGTCAGCAACGGGTGCCAGACCCCCGGAGTCCTGGCCCGAGCGCCCTGCTCTAAGTACTAGACCCCACTGCCCTCCCAGAGTCCTGGCTCCCAGCCCCCCAATTCTAATCCACCAGACCCCCCACACCTCCCAGAGCTGGGGCCAGAACCCAGGAGTCCTGGCTCCCAGGCCCCCGACTCTAACTCACCAGACCCCACTTCTCTCCCAGAGCTGGGGAAAGAACCCAGGAGTCCTGATTCCTGGGTTCCTGTACTGACCACTGGACCCTCCTGCTCCCTCTCAACTCACCCAGTTGTGCGCCCACCCTGGCTGAGCTTGTCAGGCCTCAATTTCCCTGGCACAGACAACTATTGGGCAGGGCGCCCTGTTATTTGGGAGGGATGTGGTTGAGAACCCCAGCGATCAGGCGGGCAGGGCACTGGGCTGATTGCGTGAATGTCTCCCCAAGGCATCAAACGTCAACCCACAGTAACCCCCTTTGCAATGCTCACTGCCCAGCGTGGGGCGGGCCAGGAGTGGAGGGGGCTCTCCCATGGGGAAGGGAGTTGGCGGGGGGGGCTCATCCCACCAGCAGGGAGCTGCGCTCAGTTTAATTTCAAACCAAGGAGGAATGAGAAAAAACCATTGAGGGAGGGGGCAAAGGGCATTGCCTTGGGGGGGGATGCAAAGAGATGGGGCCCAGGGAAGGGGGGGGGGCAAAGGGATGGGGCCTGAGGGGATGGCGCGTGCTGAAAGGATGGGGTCTGGGCCGGACGGGGCAAAGGGATGGGGCCCAGAGGGGGTAGAGGGGCGAAGGGACGGGGCCCGGGCGGTGGGTCCAGGGGTCCAAGGGACAGGGCCGAGGGGGGGGGGCGCCCTTGAGCAGGTGGCCAGGGGGCGAAGGGATGGGACCCAGAGGGGGTGGGGGGGGTGAAGGGACGGGGCCTGGGGAGATGGCGGGTGCTGAAGGGATAGGGTCTGGGCCGGGGTGGGCAAAGGGATGGGGCCCAGAAGGGGTGGGAGGTGAAGGTATGGAGTCCGTGGGGACAGGGGGAAAAGGGACAGGACCCAGAGGGGGTGGGGGGACCCAGGGGCAGGGGCGAAGGGA